TAAATGCCACAAGAAGTGCAATATTTGGCCAGATACACTACTTAAATTATGTACATTTTCTAAATACAAAACATATTTAAGGTTCAGTACAGCAAGTCTTGTGCCATTTTTGGACCCAGGTGGCAACTAATGTACTGTTAAGCCTTTATGGTGCAGTTAGTAGTAGTTAGCAAAAAGTACCTGATGCTTTGACCAAATGTAAAGCTTTCTGTAAGTGCTGTGAGACCCAGTGTTCCTCCGCTTGTCTTTTCTGTCTGATAGGATTATATCTTGGATATATAGGTACATTTCCTGGTTACTTGAGGGAAAGTGTATTTCACTAGTAATGAGACTGCATCCAGCATGGTGTTGATTCGAAGAGAGAGAGAGAGAGCGCACGAGAGAGAGAGAGAGAAAGACTGAAAGAATGATTAAAGTTTCTTTGAAGTTGAGATGTATTAGATGGAATGATAGATAAATGTGTGTCACTTCTATACATTAGATTGATAGTTTAATGAAAAATGTAGTCGTTCAAAATGATGATAAACTACCGTACACCTTTGTCCCTCAGGTACTGACTTGTATATTTCTTTGTATATTTATCTGTTGGTCTTTTGTATTGTTGGCAGCTGTTTTTCTAGTGTTTGATAGTGTATCAAATTTCTCAAAGATTTTTTTATGTTGGGACTGTCTTAGTGATCCAGTGATAATACATGCATTAAACACTTCTTTTTAAAAGTTTTATGTCGTAAACTGCCAATAAATGCCACAAGAAGTGCAATATTTGGCCAGATACACTACTTAAATTATGTACATTTTCTAAATACAAAACATATTTAAGGTTCAGTACAGCAAGTCTTGTGCCATTTTTGGACCCGGGTGGCAACTAATGTACTGTTAAGCCTTTATGGTGCAGTTAGTAGTAGTTAGCAAAAAGTACCTGATGCTTTGACCAAATGTAAAGCTTTCTGTAAGTGCTGTGAGACCCAGTGTTCCTCCGCTTGTCTTTTCTGTCTGATAGGATTATATCTTGGATATATAGGTACATTTCCTGGTTACTTGAGGGAAAGTGTATTTCACTAGTAATGAGACTGCATCCAGCATGGTGTTGATTCGAAGAGAGAGAGAGAGAGCGCACGAGAGAGAGAGAGAGAAAGACTGAAAGAATGATTAAAGTTTCTTTGAAGTTGAGATGTATTAGATGGAATGATAGATAAATGTGTGTCACTTCTATACATTAGATTGATAGTTTAATGAAAAATGTAGTCGTTCAAAATGATGATAAACTACCGTACACCTTTGTCCCTCAGGTACTGACTTGTATATTTCTTTGTATATTTATCTGTTGGTCTTTTGTATTGTTGGCAGCTGTTTTTCTAGTGTTTGATAGTGTATCAAATTTCTCAAAGATTTTTTTATGTTGGGACTGTCTTAGTGATCCAGTGATAATACATGCATTAAACACTTCTTTTTAAAGTTTTATTTATTCCTGATCTACAGGAAAAAGTTGAAAACTCACCGGGTGAAGAAATTTATTAATGATATTTACTACATCCATCATTTGCATCCTTTCATATTAGCCACATTTCGTATTTGTTTCAAGAGGTTAACATACAGAATGAGGAGGAATTTAAAGAACTGATAATGTAAACTGGATGAGTATATGTATAAGCATTTTTATCTCATCTGGCAGCAACTGCTAGTTATGATGTCAGAAAGTAACAAAGTATTAAAGACTTTCAAGCTTTATTTATTAGCAAAGTTTCCACTTGATACTTTTTACTGGTTTTGTGTGTCAGAGGTTAAAATTTATATTGTAGAAGTTGAAAAAAGTAAAAAAGTACTT